AGACATGACCATCTGGACCAGCCTTGTACCAGACGCCCCCGGTTAAGACTTTGTGTTAGAATTTTCTTCCAAAAGAAAAGACATCTGAGTGGACAGTGTTGTTACCATCTTAGAAAGCTCCTCGAGACACGTGAGGCTGGGGAATGAGAGGGTTATTATTGTTGCTTATCCTAAAGGAGAAAGAAACATGTTGGGGTGAGCAGGTTGCTTTGCCTTCGTTTTGCTTCTCCATTCTCAAGAGGTCGGGCCAGGTCTCGTGACAGCCAGGGAACAAATGTGTGTGGGGCCCACCTTGGCCCCTCAAATGACCCTGCCCAGCCAGACTTCGCTCCTCCCCGCTGCCCTCTGCCCTCTGCCCTCTGCCCACTAAACGCAGTCACGCCTGAGCACCCAGCGTGGTTATTGTTCCATTGTGATCATTGTTCTTCGCCATGGTCAACAGTTACCCCTCCTGTCCAGGACAGCTGTTTCCAAGCTCTCTGAACTCCAGCCTCATCCATCAGCCTGGAAGGCTCTCATCAGGGGCCTGGAGGAGATGCTACTTTATGTCCATTTTACAGATGAGGACAGTCAGTGCAGGGGGTTTAATATGGTCTAGGAGGAACAAGTAGAAAGTAGCAGGGCAGGAATTCAAGCCTCGGTTTGACCCTGCGGGCTCTTCGGCGCACGGCCACACTTTGCCACACAGGAGGTGCCAGTAGGTGGTGCGGTAGCAGCAGAGGCAATCCGCTGTGAGATGTTGGGGGTGTGACTGGGGAGGGCAGTGGCTTTGCAAGGAGGAACCTGTCTTACTGGGTCAAGTGTCTTAAGTGTAGAATACAAGGAGAAAAATCCCCCAAGTGCCCATCACTCCAAGCAGTTTCACATAGTGATAACAAAGGTTCTCAATGAACTTCATGTCCTAGCTCACTCTGAATAATTCGGAGACAAGCAGAATGTAAGGAAAGACACTCTGGAGAGGAAGATTTCTTGACAAGCACAGGTATGGGTGGAGCGGGGAAAGTACGGGTCTGTACAAAGACCTATGAGAAACTGATTAGTTCTGGGAAGTACAGGACAGAGAAGAACCTGTGTAAGACTCTATTCAACATGCAGAAATCAACTGGAGGACTCCAGAGTCTAGAGCTTTAGAGACATGAAGGCTCTTTTATTCTGGAAACAGAATTTCCAAAACAATACAGTGAGCCCTGAACAGCAAAGACTCTGCACACCTTTACTTACCCCAGAGGCAGCTGACCACACGCCACGCCCTCGGCCACCCAAGCATCTCGGCCCTGGGCTCAGACTTCCTGGGAGCCCCGGACAGGACTTCCACTGTGCTTCTCATTTCTCCCAGTCCAGAGGCTAGCACAGCAGTTCCAGCCCCCTCTGCTGCTCTGGAACAGGAAAGATCTTTGCAGGCCTGTGTTTTTAAAAGGACTACAAATGAAAGAGTGGCTAAGAGATGCAAGTCTGTGTGTGAGGCCACCCTCTAGCTGGATAAAGTCCCTTTGGAAGGGGTGATCATTTGGGGTCTGGGCTTACGTGACTTAGACGAGCTTCCTTTGCACGTGCGAGATCCCAAGATGCTCTCACTAGCCCGGGAGAAAAAGCGAAGTGCAAGCACTGGTGGCTGCATTTCCTGGGCTTTGTGGTGTTTCTCCTCTCTTGGCCCCAGCGTAGGATTCAGTCAAATTACATAAAGAGCCCACGGGTCTCCTGGGAACAAAGGTCTTGAGTCTGCACCTATTTTCCGTGAAATGCAAGGCCAGGTGCTGTATTTGTTAGAGTGGTCATCACCAAGGGAGGCTGAAAGGGCAAAGAGACCCAGACCCCTCAAGGCCTGTCAGGAACCTGACCATTCCTGCCCCTCTGCCAGGACTACTGTATCTTGGTCTAATGCCAGCGTCTCCCCTGAGTCATTGCTGTTGCTGTTTTGTTGCCTTTTCGTACTCCTGCTCAGCCCCTGGACCTCAGCACTCACCTCAAGACTGCCGGAAGAGCAATGCTTTGGGGCCGGGGATGTAGTTCAGTGGCGCAGCACCTCCCTGGCAAGTGTGAGCTTCTGAGTTCTATCGGTAGTCCCCCCCCCCCCAAAAGAGTAATGTTTCTATAAATTTAACACCCAAATCAGTTCTAGCCACTGTTCTGCTCACAACTTGATGATTTCCTCCCTGGTCATGCAGAGAAAGGGGAGGGGTCCTTATCAGGCCTGGGACGTCCTGTGTGCGCTGGGCTCCTTCTCCCAATGGTGTCACTCCCACGTCTCCTCCTTCTCCCCCTGTGTTTGTCTGGGTCGCCAGAGAAGTGAAACGACAGAAATAGATCCCTAACTTATAATGTTTTGGCTTAGGATTTCGGAACTTTTGGTTTTCACATTCAGTGAAGTATACAATAAATGACATGAGCCAATACTTTATTATGAAAGAGGTTTTGCAATAGATGATTTTACTCAACTGTAGGCTGAGTTTTGTTTTGTTTTGTATTGTAGTGCTGGGGATTGAACTCAGGACCCTGTGAATGCTAGGCTCTGTACCACTGAGCTATACCCTCAGCCCTCATGTAAGTTTTCAAGCATGTTTTGCTGGGCTAGACTAAGCTACGATTTCCAGTGGGTTTGACACATTAAATGCATTTTTGTTTATGAAATAACTCAACTTACAATTGGTTGAGACATAACCTCACTGTAAGTCAAGGATCGTGTGTGTGCGCGCACACGCACATATGTGACAAGAGACAGCAGTTGATTTATTACAAGGTATTGGCTCACACAGTTCTGAAAGCTGAGAAGTCTCACAACCCACACTCAGCAAGCAGAGACCAGAAGAACCAACGGTTCTGTTCCAGTCTGAGTCCAAAGGCCTGGGAACCAGGAAATCAACAGTGAAAGCCCCAGTCTGTCTGATACCAAGGCAGGAAAAGACTGCTATTCCAGCTCACACACAATCAGGCAGGGAGGGAATTCTCCCTTACCACACCTCTTTGTTCTATCCAGGCATTCAGCTGCTAGAATGAGGCCCACACACATTGACAAGGGCAGTCCACCCTCTGCAACACACCCAGCACACTTAGCCAAATATCTGGGGGTCCTGTGGCCCAGTCATATTAATACATAGAACAACGATTGTGTGTCCACCCCCTGCCAATTCAGCACCTGCGTGCATCACTACACCAGATTTAAGCCCCAAATAAAGACAATAACGAGCTCATGATTCTGCCCCACTTGATACAACTATTCTGTGTACAGCTGAAAGTATGCAACTGCCCTCCAGAAGCGGAAGTAAAGTCCTAGAATGAAGTCTACTCCTCCCCCTTGATATCTCGTCATTTAAATACTATGTCAACTGAATAATACTTAAACACTATGATAAATCAATACACTTTAAATTACATGACACAGGAATGTGAAAGGGAGGAAAACAAAGGCAATTGCTAATAAATACACACAGACATATAACAAGCAAGGATAAAACGCTTATGCAATCAGTCTTCATTCCTGTGTCTGGTCATTTGGTCATAGGTGGCATTGATAAGGACCTTCTGCCACTATTCATTCTGTACAGTGTTCTCTGCCATCAGCAAGCTCCTCCACCGGCCATGGGGCTTTACCTGGTGAAGTAGCCTAATCCTTCACTGGTGAAGGCTCAGGGCCTCTAGTACTCCTGCCTGGGCTGGGTTGTTGTTATTTTCTAATAACCTTGTGTCCTACTGATAATAAGGCATAGTACGCAGAGATGCCCCAAGGGCTCTCTTGTGCTCCAGACATGCTCTTCCTCGTCTTCACTGGGAAGCAGCAGTCCTTTCCCTGGTAGGAGAACCAGTGACTCCAGCTGGTGCAGTGAGTTCCTGCTTCCTTACTGGCTTCGAGACATGAGTGGCCATGAGAGTCCAGAGTGGCCACGCAGCAGTCTTCACCTCCGGTCCATGGAATTACTGCTGTGCCTCTGGTGGAAGCATTTCTTCCTCCAGAATTAAGATCTCCAGGCCAGGGAGCTAAAGGACACGGGGACAGGGGTAATCATGTGTGGCATCATTCTCCTCTCCACCTATTGATTCGTGGCTATGTATATTGGATGCTAATCCACAGCATGCAGAGCCTGCTGGAGAACCTTGCCCTGTCCTGTAAGGTACTGTCGTCACCTTGCTAGTGCTGCAACTGTGTGTAAGAAGGTTATTCCATCATCTCCTCCGCCAGCTTTTTCAGGATGGTGGGAAACATGGCGAGACCAGTGAATCCCATGTGCATGTGCCTGTGGCCACACTTCTTTGCTGAGAAGTGAATTCCTCATGCAGGCCGTGATGGCATAGGAGGTATTCTTTAGATCTTCACATGGTGATCTAGGCAGAAGCATTGAGTGCAGGGATGGCAAATCTGCATCCAGATTGTCTATTACAGTCAGAACAAAATACCACCCCTTCCATGATGGAAGTTTCCAATGCAATCAGTCTGTCACCAGGGCTAGTTCACCACAAACGGAATAGTTTTGTTGGGGTCAGTGTTGGGCTTGGCGGCTGGCAGATTGTGTAGTCAGCAGTCACCACAGCCAGGCCAGCCTAGTGAGTGAAAGTCCATGTTTCTGAGCCCATGCAAAAGCTCTGTCCCTGCAGCCCCACTCAATCTGTTCACAAGCCCAGTGACAGGGAGGCTGCAGTCTTTGCTGGCTGGTGTCACAGAGGAGGTTGCTGTATGCACTTGTTCATAAAAATCCTCCTCCCTAGAGGTCACCTTTTGCTGAGCATTCACATTGCTTACAAATATCTTCAGGTTCGCTTCCTGCCCAGAGAGGGTGGTCCGCACACCTTTTTCCTTCATTTAGCGTCACCAGTTTCTCAGTTGGGTTCCTCCCAAGTTCCTGGCCATGCAGCCAAACGGTTGTTGACAGCCCGTGAATCGGTCTATAATCACACATCTGACTATTTCGCTTTCAAAGTATGTGCACTGCCTGAAGCTCTGCCCACAGGGAAGATTTCCCTTCACCCTGCCCATCAGGGATGCCCCAGACAGCTGTAGTTGTCCACTTTCAAGGGGTGCCTGTGTACAGTGCAGTCTTCTGTACCCCAGGCCCAAGTCTTCTCTTCCTCTGTCGACCAATTATACGGAACTCCCAGAAGACATAGGTGCAGGCTGGAAGAGAGAACACAGTGTCACAGGAGTAGGAGCCATGGGCATTTTGACCCTTTGCCCTTAACCTGCTTATCCCTTCAGGACATGCCCAGATCTATCATGTCTAAGCTATCTTTATTTGGAGGTGGATGGCTGCTGTGCACCAACCTTACAGCTCGGTACATCAAATAACACCCTCAGTACAGCTATCTAAAGCCACGTCAGACAGCTCAGGTCCCAGGACACGTCCCGGCCCATAGCTAAGCATTAAATTTCTACTCAAGTCCAGCAGCAGGTGGAAACCTATTTCCCCAAAGGGAATAGTTTGCTTGCAGGTGGTGATAGGGCCTTGTTTCAAATTCCGCCGAGGGGCCTGAACCTCTAGGAGCCTACTACAGCCCCTAACGACACCCCTAGATACCAAGGCCTGATGGAGACCACTATGTAGCAGTTCTGAGCAGGACTTAATATTAACCAATTGGCTTTCCGTGTTTATTTGTGAGTCACTGGTCCCTACTGAGGGCTGTAATTGTGAGTGAAGCCATGAGCCTCAAAGGACAAGACAAGGTCACAGCTGAGGACTTTTGGCTCCAACCCCAATTAACTAAAAGGAGACAGCAGCTGCAGGCATCACACTCCTGTGGTGAAGGCTTTCCGGGAGATAACATAGTTCTCCTAAATTAACATACAGTATTATTTGGAGTTCTTAAAGGGATTCCCAAGTTCTGCACAGATTCCTGCATTTTCTTCAGTATCCCTCTTCTTTGTTTGAAATATGGGCCGCCAAGGGAAGTCAGGGTCTTAACCCAGAGAATCTCGAATTCTGTAAGAGAGGTGGACCCTCCTGGAGCCCTAAACTCATTTCAGTTGTTTCATTTATTTAAGCCTTCGCCGTCCACTCATTTGGGAGACTGCGGGCCTGATCAGCCCACAATAACTAAGGATTATTAACCTGATAAGGGCCTTTTCAAGGACCAATGGACTGCTGACCATATGGCCTAAGTGACAGCAGCCTGCACAGCAACCTTGGCCTGTCACAGAGCTTTGTGTCTTTCTGGGGTCAAGTAAGCAGCTTTTCAGGTCATGTGTAACTGGCTGGAACAAAACCCAAACAAGGAATACGTTTTCTCTAAAATCTAAAGAGGACCGAGAAAAACTGGACCCCACCAACTCTTCAACAGTGGGACCTCCGTTCATGAGCTTAATTCTTTCTGCAATTTTGTCACAAACAGAGCTGGACAAGAACCTGATCAAATTCAATGGTTAGGTTCAACATGGATCTAATGAGCAGAGTAGGCCCCCTTATCCAGGGGAAATACAATCCAAGCCCCGACCCAGCGAATGCCTAAAACCACAGATACTACTGAACCTTATCTATACATATATATATGACAAATTTTCACCTTTTCACCTGTGGGTTCCTTTTGTCATATCTGAATTGCTAGTGTCACGACCCTTGTGCTTTGGGCCATTATTAAGGTAAGGGCCACTTGTGCACATGCTCTTAGATAAAGTTGAAGAAGTCTGCTAAGTGACCAACGGGCAGGTAGCACACAGTGTAGATGTGCTGGACAGAGAAAGGATTCGCATCCAAGGTGAGATGGAATGGGACAGCACAAGAGTTCATCATACTACTCAGAATGGTGCACAATTTAAAAAGTGAGCCATTCCTGGAATTTTCCATTTAACATTTTCATACCATAGACTACAGGTAACTGAAACTGTAGGACCACTGTGCTCAGCTCACAGTGAGGTTATGAGAATGAAGTGAAGACACTTAAGGTGTTTAGAATCATGCCTACCATGGGAGGAGGGCTTGAGAGCATTATTATGATCACCATTATACTTATATTCAGGTACTTTTCATAACAGAACCTATCACCTCCTGGACTTCTACCTTGCATTAAGTATTATTTTCATAAACATCTAAAACTCTAGCTCTCAATATTTCTTTATGTTCATAAATGTAAAAGTCTTCAACCAATACGACAGATTTAACCCAGCAAGGTAATAAAAGGACACTGTAAGGATTCATAGCTACGTGGGGTTTATTCTGGAAATGCAAGGCTGATTCAACAATTCAAAATCAGTCAATGTAATTAACATGTTAATAAAGTGAAATGCATGATTATTTCAGAAGACTTGGGAAAGACATTTTTAACAATACAATATCTATTTGTGATTTTTAAAATATCTCTCAGTAAACTAGGAATAGAAGGAAACCTCCTTACTCTGATAAGGAGCATCTACAAAAGCACAGCAGCTAACATCAGATTCATGATAGAAGACTCGATTCTTCCCGCTAAAACTAGGGAAGGGTGAGGCCAGCAATGCCCTCTCCTCACAACCTCTTTTATCATATTGGAATTTGTGGTTGGTGCAAGGAACCAAAAGCTCTGAGGCTTACAGACAGGTGACATGCAACCACCCCTGCTTTCAGGCAGCACAGTCAGTCAAGGAAGTCCCAGGAAGGCAACACAGATGTTGCTGAAAATAAGAACTGATTTAGTAAGGCTGCAGGATACAGAGTCAGCAACCCTCAAAGCCTTATTTCTGACCACTGGTAACAAGCAGCTAGGCATTGATACTAAGTAAGCCACACCATTTTTGTAATAACACCAAAAATGATGAGCTGCTTAGGTATAACTAACAAAATTCTGCAAGCCTGTACATGGAACATTAAAGTACACTGATGAGCGAAATCAAGAGACCTCAGTTATGAGAGCTATGTTGTGTCCGCGGCTCAGCATGCTCACTGTTACTAGCACAGCGATTCTCTCCATAGTCCTGATTAAAACCCTAGCAGGCTTTTTTTTAATATCAACAAATTGCTGCCAGAAATCTCTATAGAAAGGCAAAGAGGGGCTGGGGATTTAGCTCAGCGGCAAAAGCGCCTGCCTGGCAAGCGCACGGTCGTGAGTTCGGTTCCCGGTACCGGAGAAAAACCAAAAAAAAAAAAAAAAGAAAGGCAAAGAAACTAGAATAGCCACAATAATTTTGAAAAAGAGCAAAATACAACCACCCGTAATATCAGAGTTCAAGATTTACTAATAAAACTACTACATCAAAACATTGTACAGTAAGTTCCCAACTTACAAATGAGTTCTGTTCCAGGAGGAAGTTGGTAAGTTGCATTTGTTTCTAAGTCTGATGAAGTGAGTCTCATACACCTTTGACACAAAGCATAAAAAACCAACACACACAAAAATATATTTAAATAAACTATTTTTACTTTTATGTTTACCTTACAATGGTGGTACAGAGAATGTTTGAATGTGAGGTCCATTCGTATTTGTGAAGGTCCACAATTTGAACATTCCTAAGTCAAGGACATATTGTATTGGCAAACAGACACATAAACCAATAAACCACAACGAAGAACCCAGAAATAGCCCTATATGAACACAGGCCACTGATTTCTGGCAAATTTCAAAGGCAGCTTAATAAAGAACAGAAGCAATGGTAAGCTGGAAAATGGGATGTTCATATGGCAAATAAAATTGATCTCGCCAGGCGTGGTGGTGCACATCTGCAATCTCAGCACTCAGGAGGCTGAGGCAGAAGGATTGCTGTGAGTTTGAGGCCAGCCTGGGCTATAAAGTGAGTTCAAGGTCAGCCTGAACTAGGGAGACCCTGTTTCAAACAGACAAAAATTAATTAATTAATTAATTTTAAAAATGAAATAAAATAGATCTGAACCTATATATCCTTTTTCTAAAAATTAATTCAAGGAGAAAATCCTTGCAACCTCAGGTTAGGCAAAGTTCTTAGAAATGACACAAAAAGCATGAGCTGGAAAAGGAAAAATTGATAAGATGGACTTCATCAAAATAAACACACTGTACAGGACACTATTAAAGAATAAAGAAGTAAGCCAAAGCTGGGGAGAGAAATACCTATAAATCATACATTTAATGGTGGACTTTGATGCAGAATATATAAGGAAACCTCAAAATTCAACAGTAAGAACACTTAATTAAAAATGGGAAAAAGATGCAGGCAGACATTGCATCAAAGATGACACACCTATATAAATAACAAGTACATTAGAAGGTAGGTGCCATGATTAGCCATTAGAGAAATGTGAATTAAAACTAGAATGAAATTCTAACACATACTGCTGTAGCCTGGATCCTGAATATCTCCAAAGGTCCATGTGCTAATGGCTTAGTCCCAGAGTGCTACAACTGAGAAGTGGAAGAATCTTTGAGAGGTGGAACCCAGGGGGAGGTCCTTAGGTAATTGGGGGTGTGCTACCTCAGGGGACTGTGGGACTCTAGGTAGCACACCCCCAATCCTCCCTTTGCTTTCTGGTCATGAGGTGAGTGATTTTGCACTTCCACATTTTCCCACCACCATGTTCTGCCTTACCATAGGTCTAAGTAATGGCACTGACCTACCATGGACTGACCTTTCCAAAACTGTGAGCTAAAATAACCCTTTTCTCTTTACAAGCTGAGTATCTTGGGCATTTGTTATAGTGATGGAAAGCTGACTGACATACATTCAAGTAGCTAATATTTAAATTTACAGAACTGGTAATCCCAAGAACTGACAACAATGCTAAGAAGCTTCCTGCCCCATTTGGTCAGAGTGTGAAATGGGATGAGCACCATGGGAAACAGTTTGGCACACACTTGTTTTATGACATAATTCCACTCCTAGTCATTTACTCAAGAAAAATGACATCTATCCACACCAAAACCTGTATGTAAGGTTTATAATGATGTTATTCATAATTGCCAGAAACTGGAAACAACTCAAAATGTCTTTCAACTTGTGAATAAGTAAACAAATCTATGTATCAGATAATAACTCAACATTGAAAAGCCGGAATTATTGATATTCACCAGCAGAGTGAGTCTCAAATGTTTTATGTTCAGGGAAGGATGTGGATGAATGATAAGTCTCTTTGATCCCATTTATATGATGATCTAAAAACCAAAGCTATAGGAATGGACAAAGGGTGGGTGGCCACCAGGGCTCAGAATTGGGGGGTTGAGTGAGAAGATTTGGGAGAA